ATTAAGAGACAAAGCCCTTCATTTCTCTAATACGTTTTTTTTTTCCCATGAGTTAGACATCATGAAGATAAGTGTGTTTATATTTTAACAGTCACATCTGTTAATCTGTACAACTGTAATCAATCGAATGCTCTGATGACTCTTTCAAAATGTAGCCTGTGCAACTGAGGTGTGGTGTGCTGCCTTGCACAGTGATAATGCAGGGTGTGGAGCAGCCTCACCAGGATGCTACTGAGTCCCATCACATACGTACCTGTGATGGGTTGCTTGTTCTGTTGTGGGACAGGTGCTTAAACCTCTATCCATCTTGATCTGCTGACATTTTCTACACATCTTGTGTTTTGAAAAGAAGTGATTGTGTGATGGTGGGAGAGCAGTACTACATTTAAATGAGCATGGACCATCTAGAAAGAGTGGGAGAAGCTGGTATCAAATAGTTTAATTGTATTTTTTGTGTCTGTGAGAGGTTACAGGTTTCACCGTTCAACCAGTATGTGATACTTACTTGCACTGAAAGCTGAAGAACTGTTTCTGCAGCACCTTGAGCTCAAAAGAGTGTCAAGGTTAACAGGAGCAACTGATATTTCCTGATATCAGGAGATTCTGATATTTTCATTTTAGATTTAATTATTTATTATTTAGATTTCTTACATATTTGGTTCACTTGGTGTATCTGACCAGTGAAATTCTTGGCCATATGAATCTCTTAGTTTTCTGTGGGATTTCTAGACTGTAGTTAAATTTCTAGGCTGGACTATAGTTAGTGCACATTCCAGATGTACTGGAGTGCTCCAGTACTACTGTGGCTTCACTGTGCTTATTCATCTGTTGAGAAGCTACAGTAAATAATGCCCCAAGTCCACTGCTGAATTTGCACTTTTAAAGATCATTTGAAGCACACTGCAGCTGAAGTTTGCTGTGAACTAGGATGTGTACCTGAGATACAACCTGCCTCAAGCACTTACAAACCAAAAGAGGTAATGGAGTCAGAAAAGAAAGCATGCAATTGTTTTGTTTTATGCTGTACAGAAAGTCTCTGGAGTTGTAGTTTAGGCTGGTTTTATGCTTGGTGCTTCTTCACTGTTTCTGTGTGCAGTTACCATAATTCCTTTTTTTTTTTTATATTGGCCACATGTGACTATGAGCATACTAACATTTTCATAGGCAAATTCTCTGTATTTGCGTGGGCTCATAATCTGGAAAACACATTTCTTTTTAATTGTGTGCTTTTTAAAAAGTGATTTGGAGGTGCTAAAATACATTGCAAAGACAAAAATCCCTCTCTGTTTCAGGAGGAATGTCTCTTTTGGAAAGATTGTTTTCAGGAGTTGACAGATTTGAGTTGATCCCAACAGAATTAGCTCTCCTGCAGAATGAGACTTGCAAATAGGTGTACTGGCACTGACTGCATACTTAGTTGGGGAGTCCCTCTTGTGTTGTCACCTCTGGACACAGACTCTTTTGGAAGATAGGAGTTAGTCTCTTAAGGGCATTCTGGAGAATGGGAAAATAAAGAAGTATCGCTCAAGTACTGTAACTGACCATCTGCATACAGGGAAGGGACAGTTTTAAGTCAGGGAAGAGTTTTGTTTCTGCTGATGGAAGCACTGTTTAATTGGCACTAAAAGAACCATGGGTTCATGGGTTTCTTGTTATATTAGCTTTGTCAACTCATTTATTCAATTAAATTTTTGTTAACTGGAAATGTCAAAAAATTACAATATCATGGCTGGGCTTCGCAAACAAAGATTTGGGAAGGGCTCTACTCACGTTTGGTGCAGGCACGCTGGTGGCTAAAAAGGCCAATACGAGATAGATGTGTCCGGTTGCAAAAGGCACAGCAGAAAGACTCCCTAGGTGGTATATTCTGCAAGGCACGATTCTTTCTGCGTTGTCTTTTCTCCTCAAAGGTTGATCCTGCGTGCTTTCTCAAAAGCATCAGCAGTGTTATAGATGGTCTGTCTCCAGGCCTCCTGATTGGAGGCCAGAGTAGACCAGTTATGTTGATCAATATGGCCAAGGCTGAGATGTTGTTTCAGGGAGTCCTTGTATCTTCTCTTTGGGGCTCCTCTCTTGTGGCAGCTGGTGGCAAGTTCACCATAAAGCAAGATCTTAGGGAGGCGGTGATCCTTCATCCTTGAGACGTGACACTGAAATAATAATAAGAAATCCTAATCTCTTGGGTGGCAAACTTTAATTGTTGCATTTTATCTGAATGACAAAAGTGCATCTGACAGAGAATCCCAGCTATTTAGGCAGAAGAGGAATTTCCAAGGCAGCCAGTTCACATTCAATTCTCTTCCTCTAGAACTAAGGCAATAAATTATGCTGCTTTTAAGGGGTAATCTCTGTGACTTTAAAGAACATAAACTCTCAGAGGCATACCAGTCTGACTGTGCTAAGTGTTGAGCACCTCCTGTGTTGGAATGAGTAACCTCATCTCCCACAGAGAACATCAGGAGTTACAGATACTGATGTCCTCACTCAATGGCATCACTACCCAGAGGGATCAAGCTGTAACTGATGCAGCTGTGTTACTGACTGGGCTGGTAAGTGGAAGCACTCTTAGGGGGTGCCATTAGATGAAGTCACTGTAATGTACCATTAGTAAGCCTGCAAAAATGAGTACCCTCTTCTAATCTGAAAAGTGTTGTGGTTGAGAATACACCCATTGGATGTCCTCAAGGGAAGATTTCTTTCCCACATACTGACTCTATCAGTGTTACCAGCTGGCATTTCACTAGCATGAGACTTAGCTTTGTAACATTTCACAGACCCCTACATCATGCTGAGTAGTGCTGGATCATCTATTATTAATACGCTCACATTTTTTCTAGACAAGAAGTATCTTATTTTCTTGTTAAATCTTCCATTACTTTAAGATGGTTTCAAGGTCTGTTCTGCTCTCATTTTATTAGTTGGGAACAAAAGCTTTTCAAATATCAGAAGTTAATATATACTGATTTCTGGATAAGCAAGAAACTACATCAGATTTTGAGGCTATTTTGTTATATAATATCTTTAGGTTTCATACACTGTTTTTATAAAATAGTTTCCTTTTTCTTATTTGAGTGTATATCCATACAGAGTAACAGTTTTGCATTAGAAATGCTGGCTGCATGGCAATGTGAGACTCTTGCCTATAATTATAACCAGTTATTATTATATGGTGTGCATAAAGAATTCAAAGAACTTCAAAGTTACAGATTGATGGAGACAGTCACATGTTCGTTCTGCTTTGAGATGGCCTGAGGCAAGGCAGTGTGCATCTGGGAACTGTGAAGTTACTTAGCATGGTGTGATGCCTTGGTTAACGAGCCTGTGGAGAATACCATAGCTCAGACACAGTACAGTGATAATGCATCTACAAGGCTTCTGGAAGAAGCTGGCCTGTATCTGGATGAGCTGGAACATAGGCAAAGCAGTCAGACTAACTCTGGAAAATATACGCAGGCCAACTAGTATAAAAACAGGAGAGTTATCAAGGTGTGAGGATGCACATTCTTTGAAATGCTCAGGTTGTTATGAAGAAAGACACTGGGAGAGCAGACTGGGTCTACCAGTTACTGCTTTGTTGGATTCCAGCTTATTGCTTTGATCAAAACCTGATTTGTTCATCCCAGTCAGCTTTCTGTCTTGGGTTGGTCTTTTTTGGACAGCGGAATGGAATAGGCCACCTTAATCCATAATGCTGTTGTAACATGGTTTGAGTATTAGTTGAAAGGTAAGCATGAAAAGGAGTATCATGACAGAGAAGTGCACCAACCGAATGTCAGGAGTGCCACACTGACATCCTGCTGCTAATGACCAGGTTAGCCTGGGATGGTTTTACCTTTGTCCCCTGTGTAAGTTTGGCCTGGCTCTCTCGCCGAGTCCAAGCTGTCTCCTCCCACCTCCCACTCTCTCAAGAGAGGAAAAAAAAATGAACCACAGAAAAACAAATTAAATACTTCCCTGAACGAGACAACAGAACCGCGTGAAGCACCAACCAACTCCCCACACCTCCCGAAGGGAACCGGAGATCACGGCAGGTCGGAGCAGGCAGACCCTGGCCTGTACAAGCGAAGACTGTCTGCGGAGAGACCTGTTAACTTCAGCCACCGGAAGAGAGCGAACTCTCTTATCTACACCTTATTTATATGTTGTGTTACGTTAAAGGATGACATGGAATACTTCCTTAGATTTCTGACCCCGTTGCTAAGGAAGGCCTAAAAAATCCAAAAACCAATGCACTGCATCCCCCCATGGCTGAAGCTCAGCAGAGGAGAAGATTCTCAGAACCAAGTCGGAAATTGTATCATACTTTTTAGAGTTCCTCTGCAAATCTCTTGCAATTTTGATTTCTGGAGTTTTGTTTCCTAAACTGTACACAGGTGGAATAAACTGGCCTTATTATTTAGCTGATGTAGGCCTAATTTTAAGTGCACCATTTTTGCTCTCAATTTCCAGATTCATTCTTATCTTACCGGTAATAAACCTAACACAGACACTGAATTTTACCAGTAACCTTTCTTGCTCAGTTGATCTATTTTTTCCGTCCTCCTTGTAAGTTTTTTTAATCTTTAGGGAACTTTGAAGTACTTCCCACAGCTATGCTCAAAAGTGGGTTTGTAGCCTTTTACTGCCGTTACTGCCAGTGGACCTTGCTTGAGGCCATAGGGAAGTTGGGACAAAGCCAGGGAAAAACATCAGGTTCCCATCTCAAGCACAAGATCGCCATTTGTCTTTTATAAGCCTGTCTTGTCTGATGCTTTCAAATTTTCAGAATAGAGGACCTTGAGATTGAAGTGTTCATGCTTTTTCATAGCGCAGATATAGATTTTTCCTTGGGAAAGTTTGACCATGTCATGCCGGTCTGTTTGTGAGCAACATGGTGTGTGGTGATGGTACATCTGAGATAATTATTCCTTGCTTTTACTATTAGATTATTCAAAACTCACTTTCTCTGGCTCTCTAGCCTCCGTAAATCCATTAACATAAGTGGAGTTATGGTCATTTATACTTGCTGAATATCAGTTTTAAAAGATAAGAGCTGAGTACTTGATGGTAAGCGTCCTTCACATATTTGAAAAAATTCCTCTGATAATAAATGTATATTTTTAAATGTTTCTTATGCCCACATTTTAATAAAATGCTTAATAAGATTTGAGATTGTAATGGTGTCACCGGTAGTTTCTCATACCATTGTCTGCATTAGGGGGTTTGTGTCTCTATATGCTCTGCCTCCTTCATCCTTGTCCTATTTTGGAAAATGTAAAGATCCTCACAGGTTTTAGGCTGTTTTTACAGGGAAGACTCAGGATAGTCCTGTAACTTTTGGCCTTTCTGGAACATGCTTTTAGGTCTCCTTTGAAGAAGCATAGAGGAATGATGGTAAGGAAGTTGAAGATATGGCCAGCATAAACACAGATATGTTCAGAAAATAATATTGCCTTCATTAATATTGAAGAAAAGAATTTCAAAAATAAGTATGTTACCTAAAATCAATTGAAACCAATGGAGTAGTTCTCACTGATTTCAGGTTTTGTAGTCAGCCCTGCACACAGTTGTCTGCAATGCTTTTTGTGTTTTCCTTTAGTTTTTTTCTTCTTTTTCAGATGCTTAAATGCACTTTTTTTAGATTTGCTGCAAGAGGCAAAGTTAGGCTTCCCTGACTGTGGTTTATTGAAAAACTCAATCATAACATTGCATTAACAGAATTCTTCACATCTAGCACTTTTACTTGACAGGGAAGAAACTTTATTGCATCTGGAGTAGTTGTCTAAAGACCTTTCCAGAGGTGTCAGGAGAGATTACCTGTGTATTCTTCACCTTTCAGAAGAAAGGAAGAGCTGTGAGCCAAACCTGTAACTCAGGGCTGGAACCAACACATTCCACAGCATCATGCTGGAATATTGGTAGAAGGTAAGAAAACATAATAAATGGTCACTTTTCTGAAAATGTAAGACAAGATTCTTGGAATATATATAATTTTAGTTTTTATTTCAAGGAGTGGTAAGAACTGGTGCAGTGGGAATATCACAGAATCATAGAATTGTTAGAGTTGGAAGGTACCTCTGGAGATCATCTTGTCCAACCTCCTTGCCAAGGCAGGGTCAGTAGAGCATGTTACCCAGAAACATGTCCAGGTAGGTTTTGAATGTCTTCAGAGAGGTAGACTCCACAATTTCCCTGGGCAGCCTGTATCAACAAGAGATTTAAATCCTTGTTTTAGTGATGTTTTCAGATACAGGTGCATTTTTCCATTTGTGCAGGTGAAGAAAGCCTTGGCTTGATTGTCCTCCCTTTGAAAAATAAAAGAAATATTCTCACTGAATTTTGTGTGAAAAGGGTTATGATTCTGTTTTGAATGGTGCATATTTACCCCCATTCTGTCTCACTGAGGAATTATTTTTGCATGAAATATATACATACTATATGGGTTAAACACTGTTCCATCTTTACTTTTCTATGAAAACAAATTTCCAGGGATTAGGGGTTCTGTTACAGGGATGTTTGATCAGGAACATATTGTTTGTACAGTTGATTCTGTCTTGAGGCAGATGATCTCTTGTGGCTGCTTTTGACCCTGATTTCAGAAATGGCTAAAAGAAAATGTGCACAAGCTGAATTAAAACCCACAAAGGACTTGCAACATTATGTTGGATCGAAAGATCTAGTAACAGAAACTTTGTAGTAATGCATATTGCTTAGGTTTTACCTAATTTGCAGTCTGCAGTCTTAGCACTACTGGCATAACTTCATTACAGGGGCCTTTTGGTGTAGATGGGACGTATGTCAACAGGATTTTCTCTCTTCCTGCAGGCTGTTATACCACCACTTTAAATGTATAAACTTAGCTGAGGCAGTTATCTACTGATGCAGCCATGTCCCCATCAGTGGCTTTGCCATCCTAGAGCAGATAGCTGTGCTGTTGAAGTTTTCATTTGAGCTAATAGAAGTACAGGGCCATTATGGCACAATTTTGTGATGTAAACTGGATAGTACCTGCCTATGCAAAAGTGAGAAACATATTCAACTACTATCAGTTCTAACATATGAATGGGAAAGCTGTCTGTGCTACTCCTATTCCAGTTATGAAGCAGCTCTTTTTCCTTTAAAAATAGTGAATTAAATGGTATGTTTTGAGGAGTGAGAATCTCATTAGTGGCAAGCAGAAAATTGTGCACACCATTTGGACACTGATTATCAGAAAGACATTTTGTTAATTATGAATTAGGCCAAAAATGCTTGGTCTGTGCATGTATTTTGTTGCTTTAAAAAGTAATTATCAAGGGTTCTAATAATGACATAAAATAAACAGCTGAAAGGATGGGAAGGAAGGCAATGACAAGAGAAAAGAGTACAGGTCTTTTACATGTGAGGGTCTTGTTTCCGTTGCTGTATCATTCCAGCCTTACTCTTCAAGTATCGTCTGAGCTCTGATAGACATATTGATTCCTGGGGTACTCCTTATTGCTCAGATTCTAAATAAAACAAGTAAGTCTGCTGGGATCAACTTCTTTACTTCTTTGTCTTTAGCCTAGAGAACTCACAGTTTCTCACAAACTTGATAAAAGGCCAATTTCTCCTGAATATCTGCCGGTGACTCAGAAATGTATTTTCTCAGTCTTAGATTTTATAGTAGTTTTCTTCCATATACATGTTGTTCTGCCAATATTTGCAGAGTGTACAAGGGTCACTGTGAAGGAGCAAGATTCAGGATGGGAACAGTTCCAGGTGTGGAGAAAAGCATACAGCAATTGGCAGGACTTTATTATATGGACCTTACAGTTATCATATGGACTTGACTGTTATTATGTGGTTTCATTGTATTCACACTACACAGTGCACAGCCTGGACAAGCCCAGGCTTGCCATGAGTTTACCTGCTCCCTGCTTCCCCCACTCCTCCCCCTTCTGCCTGTGTCCCTATCCTGGTTGGTCCCCCTGCTTGTCTGTCTCATGCTCCGCCCTATGTTCTGGCCCTTTCCCCTCCCGAGCTGACAAAAGACGGTGTGCACGAGTGAATAGGAGATTCTACTTGCACCCTTCCTTGTGTCCCATCCCCTCTTCGGACCGTGGCAGGTGACCATGCTTTAGACTGCCCAACACCATTTAATGAGTGGATATTTTTCATATTGAATCGTATTGAATCACATTTCGTGTTGAATCATTTCAGTCAACAGGAGTTTATGAAAGGCGGGTCCTGCTGATCAACCTAATCTCCTTCTATGACAAGATGACCTATGCAGTGGATGTCTGTGGATGTTTTTTACCTGGACTTTAAGAAAGCTTTAGATACCGTTTCCCACAGCATTCTTTGCAGTATTCTCCTGGAGAGACTGACTCCCACGCTGGACCAAGGAAAGAAGTCCTGCCCCTGAGCAGTAAGCAGTGGCAGTGACAATGTCTGATGAACTGACCACAGCTCCCATTCCCTGTCCCTTGTGCAGCTCTGGGAAGGAGGTAGAGAATCAGGAATAAAATTCAACCCAAGAAGAAGGGAGGGGTGTAGGGGAAGGTGTGTTTTACTTTTCATTACTCTGATTTGACTGCTGGTAAATTCCATTAATTTACTCAAGTGCGTTATTGTCCATGACGGTGAATCTCAACCCATGAGTCTTTGATTGTATTTTTTGTGCTTGCCCAGCTGAGGAGTGGAGTGATGGAGCAGCTTTGGTGGGCCTGATATCCAGCCAAGGTCAACTCAGCACAATGTACAACTTTCTCCTTGATAATAACCCTTGATGGTTTTGGTTATTATGTATATCTATTTCCACAGTTTCCTTCAGATTGAACAATCCAACTGTTAGTGACCATTGATCAAAATTCTGCTGTTGCGACAGAAATGGCTTTGTCTTTCACTTCTTTGAGGAGCCATTCCACTAAATGATCCTGAGACATGATCTATCTGAGAAAGTGTAGTGAGAATATGCTTGCTAAGATAGCAAGGAAAACTTCAGATTATGCTCCTGACATGAGCTGGTGATCTGTGCTTGCAGCCCAGAAAGTCAACCATATGCTGGACTGCATCAAAAGGAGCATGACCAACAGGTTGAGAGATGTGATTCTGCACCTCTGCTATCACAGAATCATGAGGGTTGGAAGAGGCCTTCATGTTCACCTAGTGCAACCATCAACCCAGCATCACCATAATCACCCCTAAACCATATCACCAGCGCTCTGCTGAGACCCCATCTAAAGTACTATGTCCAGCTCTGGACACAGGAAAGATGTGGACCTATTAAGGGTTTCTTTTTAATTATCATAATTATATCTTTGTTTTTGGCATGTGTTCTGTGTTTTACAAACAAAGTGGAAAAGACCAGCATCTTGTTAATGACTATAAGGTTCAGCATGTCACTCATCATCCACTCCGTGTGGGCCTACAAAACAAACAGTGATGCTGTTCCAAGGACTATCACAAGCACCAGGTCAAATATACTTGGAACTGTGGGTTCTTTGAGATCAAAAGTTCATACGTGATTCTGTTGCTTTCCTGGCTGGTGAAGAAACAATCATGGAGTGATGTGGTCAAAGTAATAAATGAATACATGTGCTCTTTTTTATTATCCCAGAAATTTAGATCATTCTGTTCAGTCAGAGGAGTTCAAAGAGCCCAGTTTCAGATAACTGACAATTTGCTACTTAAACCTTAATCTCTTAGTTTAGACAACATCTGGCACCACGGGGCTGGAATGCTGAGGCACATCCGTCTAAAATTCATGTTTTCTACCTTCTATAGAGTCTATGAACTATATAAATATATAAGGTATGCAAAATAATGGTGGGTTCTGTATCAGCAAAGGTAAGCTGTAAAGATCAAACTTTATACATTAACCTGTGGAGTGTCACCATTAATTCATTGGTTTAAGAAGAAAGTACGTTATTTGTTACCTATTTCTAACTGTCAATAAAATGTATTCTATGTGAGAGAGCTCAGTACTAATGATTGATAGTTCATTGTTCAACCAAATGTTTTAACAGCTAGAAAAGGAACAAGATTTTTGGTAACTACTGATGACAGATCTCTCAATATTTTTCTTTTTAATCTTCTTTTTAATGCAAACTATAAAACTCTAAAAAGAGCATCTAGAAGAAAGAAGACAAAGCTGCACAAAAACTTCCAAGAAGCATTAAACAGCACTGTCAAATTCATTTTGTTTGAATTTTATGCAGTCTATTTTAAACTGAAAAGTCAAATTTTCACCTAATGTGAAAATTTTAATTTATTCAAAAGTCTTTCTGTGATATAACAATTATTACAGAGAAGCCCAAGCCATCCCTGTGAAAATATGAGCACATACACATGTGGAACAGGTAAATAGAAGTATTTTAGAAGAATGTCACTAAAGCAAAATAAGTTACTATGTATATGCATGTGGGTGTCTTGTGGTGTAAACACAGATTTTGGTTGGTTTCTGCTGCCTACCTCAATGTGTGGTTGACTCTTGGAAAGGCATTGATCTTGGAGGAATTGTTCAGTCAATCCAGAAAAGCAATGGGATGGGGAATTTGAGAATCTGAGCTTGTAGAAAGCCCACCTGATTTATTTTTATATGATTATACCAGTTAATGGATTTTCATGCAATAGTTTTATTGCTGTTGAATCAATATTTTTAGATAAAAAGTTTTCCACTGAGTAAGATTTTTTTGATCAGTTTATTATTCATGTGCGACATTTAGACTGTGTTACTCCAACTCTCTCCAATAATTCCTGAACAATCAGCACATACTTAAGGACAAGCCTGTGAGCAGCATCTTTGAGAATAGTGAATACCAAGTCCACATGTGAATTTCAACTGTCACTGGATTGGCTGATATTAATTCTGGGTAGGTTCCGCATTTGAAATGGATATATTGGGAAAAGATACCTGTACTGAAAAATATTTTTTCTATTATTATTTTGTGGAGATTGGCACA